CACTATCAAAGTGGTGACAATGATGATGGTTGGGGACGCGGTGTTGTTGGTTGTTGTTGATGATCTCACACGTTACTACGTGACGTTCTCTTTTACTTTACCCTTCTCCTGATCAAACTTTTACTCCAAGACGATACGACATCAAGAGTGTTTGCAGCACTACGCACCACTATTTGTTGACGGTGACTGAAAAACAGCAAACCCTTTTAATATGATGACATTATAGATGTATCTGGACTTCTTTTGCTATGGGTTCTTGTAAGATCAGCTTTAAAGTATAAAGATATTGCCAAAAATTTAAAAATAAGATGGAGGATAAGCACTGTTCTCTGGGTCATTTGCCTACAAGACGTCTGAGTAAAGTGGACACCAAATTCTGCAACTAGGTCTTAGGCCGGTGTCTTCTTAAGCTCAATTGCTACCGTATTAGGATTCACTTTCCTTTACACTGCCATGGAAGATGGCCGCGTTCTGCAATGGTCTGCTTGTAATTGTTAATTGCCAAAAATGATTATGCTAACCAGTTGGACGTGCAAGAAAGGATCCAGGTAATGAGGTGAGACAATATCATCTTTTCTTCTTCTGACTGCATGGTTTTAATTAGGACAGTCTCTTCTAGGTGATACTTACCCTGCACCTGTTTGATTTGTATCATACCGAATAAATGGTTCTCCTCTTCTCACACTCGAAGTACTAACACCTTCTGTTAGTAATTTCGTTGTAAAGAGTAGATATAAAACCCAGAAAGTAGAAGATAAAAAGGGGTAGATAAAGGTAAGGCAATGGCTGCCCTCCTCCCATCCCTTGCATTGCTTATAATAAAGTAGATGAATCCTTGCTAACAGTTGATTTGTGTTACATCAAGTAGGCAGAATAATGGTTGGTCCTTCTCACCCAAAGTTGGAAACAGGCCAAATTAAGGAGCTCCTGCAAGGGTCCATAACACGTTCGCACCTTCGGCAAACAATATTTTAGGTATGAAGTGGGGCTTTACATTTGAGAGCAAGTGAGTGGCTTGATTGGGACCACAAATTTTGCATTTATTTGCTATATCCTAGAATGCAGAAGTCCTTTCTTCTTACAAGTCACTCATTTAGTTACTCGGTCAGTCAGATAATTAACAGGAAAAGTCACAAAAGAAAAACTGGGAAACTCAGAAATGAGTCGAGAACGAATCGGTAGGGTCTATCGTAGTATCATGCTTAAATGAGAGGGGTACTCATCACTTTTAATAATTACCGCAACTTCCTCAACGAGTCTGTACTAGTGTTTATTTCAGGATATTCTACTCCACAATGACATGGGATCCTGCTTTATGGAAAATGTCAGGCCATGTGAACGCGATGGCTCAAACCTTCATTGACGTGCAGTCCCCATATCAAAGTGTTTATTGTCAAAACCGACGCATTCTGCAAGGTGAGTTCTATGCCTTTAACCGTCCCCATCATATCTTAAGCAACAGAGTAAGGTAGGTGTTTTGGTAGTCTTGTAGACGAGCTATAACAGGGCACGCAAAATGGATAACTCTGATATAGAGGATCGGGTTAAACCGACATTTAAAGCAGTGAAGGTAGTTCCAGCATAGGCAAAAATCGTAGAAACCCACTGAAGACCCATGTCATTGCTTTATAATGAATGATAATAGACCACTGAACATATTGAGCGGGCCTGACATGAAAGTCCTGTTGAAAGCTGGACGAATTTTTCTTCTTCAAACTCACAAGTGGAACTTTAGATGTAACCGTAGTCGCTTCTCAACATTTAACCCACTTCACTCTGGACAGCAAGTTGCTCATATACTAGGTTTACAGGGTAACAGAGCCTAATTTGGGCTCTTCACCAGCACCTCTGCCTTAAAGACCAGGTGTCCTAACCAGACTCTGATCTCTAAGTCATATCCGTGTTTTATAATGAATGTATAGCCAAAATATTATCCCGCATTTTAAAAGGCACACCTAAGGCATTCCATCTAAGATGTTATTATATTTGGAAAATAAGTGAAAGTTAACAGTACCGAAGTTTAGCAATAGGATTTACAAAATCCTTTTAACAGAGGAACAGTTTGTAGACATCTTCCCGTTGATCTAAGCCAGACGGCCAAGCAAAAAAGGGCCCGATATACAATGCTCCGCCGGTCCGCGGACCTCTAGCAACTGCTTTAAAGGTAAAAGAAGCTTTTTGCCATTGTAATGGACTTTCCAGTTCCATGGTTGCTGGCTTGAGAAGAAGAAGGGGGGACAGAGATAACAGGTGATTAATTTACTCCCTCAGCATTATGTTGAATTTCATAGGCTAAAACAATTTTCCTTTTTCACTGATCATTATTATGGAGAATAATAAGCACAGGATAAGTGACGAGCTAATACCCCAAAAAGTAGTCCTCAAACTGACTAATGAAAATCTGCCTTTAACGTGCTCTGCTTCTCATAAACTTGTTTCGGATCTATCGGCAAAGCTTAGGCAAATGGACACCTGACGTGCATTTTGAATGTAATTTGGTGGAGTAAATAAGTAAAGACAAATTTGCTGATGCAGTAGTGTGCAATTTGGAAGTACGTTTTGCTGGTTGAAAATTGTGCTGGTGGAGCTTATCGACAAAAGTGGAGAATGGGTTTAAAGGAAATTCACAGGGTAAGGATTAAAACATCCTTGACGACTTAGATAAGCAAAGGTAGAGCAGAGGTAGGAAGATTTCGCAAAGTCCTATACATTATCACCGTTTTAAGCACTACGACTAAAAATCTGATTAATAAAATATTGCTAGGCTTAAGACAGTTGAGCTCAATATGTGGGTAGTGTTTCTGCCTTCCTAGCCGAAATCTAAGCCACAATAAAGCAGGCTGAGTCATGAGGCGTCGGAAGGAACTATCTCAGTTAAAATCCACATTGAAGTGCAGTTAAACTGTCTCCTTCAATGGTTTTACATCCTGGATATAGGCTTTCCACTATCCTACTGTGCTTAAGATTCTTTGTAAAAACCACGACTTCTATAACTTTATCCTTATTGCCAACTGTGTTATGTGTCACCATTGCCCTGCTTCGCCTACCAGTACCCACTGGGGCACTAATTTGAAACCTGATAAATAAGTTATCTTGAATTATCCATGAAACCTATACATTTTGCAATGTAGATGCGTAGAGGTGGAAGTCAAAGCTTCAAGTAAATGAGACAAAAAAGAAAGGAGGAGGACTCTGTCAACCGCTAGGTATTGGGGGCAGATACGTTTGCCGGAAAATTAAAAGCGTCGCTATCGTCACATAAATCTTGTACAGTTGCAAATGTCTCAGTCACAGACTTGTCTTTTAGTCCACATAAAATTTTACTCCGCCTACAAAAAAGGTTGCTTGTGTACCCAAAGGGAAAAATGTCAGAGATTGTAAAACAGTTCCTCAACTTCTGGCATAATCTGTTGCAATGTTTTGCGAATGAGACTAGTTGGGTTTTGGACTCTTGTCTAAATATAGCACGAGAAACAACCTACTGAAAAAAGGCAACAACACAAATAAACTGCTGATTTGTTCTTCTTTGTTTTGCTTACGCATGTTATGAGGCGCATTATTTGCTGATTGTTTGTTTAGAGTCTGATTGAATGAATGATTAAAGTAAGGAGTGAGTAAAGGTAGGGATGAATGAATTAGGGACTCCTAAGGAGGAATGGCTCTCATAATTCAGAAAAAAGCCAGTGAATATCTCATTGCTAATCCTAAATAACTTACTCACTTTCTTCCTCTTTAAAAGGGTGCAGATTGTGGACAAAAGTACTTACTTTAGGTTGTTCCCTACTTCGATTAGTAAGCCTCAAGCATTGTTACACCTTTTGGATGTGGTACAAATCATACATTAGCAAGGAAATATTTCCCTAATTATAAGCAACGCAGGGTCCCAACCTACATTTGAGAGCATTCCCTAGATAAGAATTGTGCATTCGGATTATGGGAAAAGTGTCACTCTCTTACCCTTATCTTACCCATTCATCTCCTGCTCCTAAGGATCAGTGCATTTTCTCACTACCTAGATATTCAAGTCTTGGACTTCATATTAAGAGAAATTGGACCAACCTATCCACGCTCTTTAATGTGCTGTCAGAGAGGAGGCTCAAGGCAAAACTGATTTCAAAGTAATTCCTTTAGTGCCTTCTGCCATTGTTCACTGGCTTTACACTGATCATGCACTTCGGATGCCTCAGTCCAGCATCTCATATCACAAACTTGGAGCACAGAGTAAACAAAATGATTTTTAAAGGCCATATTTTCTCCTCTTTAATTAGCATTTAACGCAGTGCTACGTTTCCTACCGACCAAATAAGCGAAAAAAATTAAAATCTGCCCTACTTCTTTTCTTGGTTCCTGTATTTCACGAGATTTATTGCTAGATGACATGCAGTAGAAAGCTAAAATACGGATGCAGATGTCCCTCACCCCAACGTGAATAGGTACGCTTGGGAAATGTACCACTGGAAATCTGCCGAATCGTCGATTTGTTCAAATACTACCAAGCCCGTTTATTAATTCACGGCATCCTTCGGTGAGTGGTAATGTAAACACAGGAGTTAATTCACGCACTAGGAAAATATAAAAGCTTTTTCGTTCAATGGACAGGAAGATATTATTTACACAAAGACGGGAAAATGATAGCGATATTTACAAATAGAAGTTAATAGTTAATTCCAATAAGTAATATATCTTTCATTACGATAGAAGTTAATAATTTCAGTTGACATAAGTGCACGTTATAATCAAGGATAATTCGGATAAAATCATTAAATGCTGTTCATAGCGATTCTGAGTACTTCTTCGCTCGTATAATTTGCCTGTGCTTGTAACTACATTTCGTGTACAGCCTTTTCCTCTCGATTTTCCAGTGGTTGTCCCTTTAATTGACAAGGGGCTTAGATAGCTTTATTTTGCAGTGCGGATAAAATAAATTCCTTTAAAGTCTCAATTAATAACTATGAAAGCCACGTCGCCATGGTACCAACAGTTCCTAAAAATAGTACACTTGATTGTGCCGACAGGTATGAATGATGGGACTAAATTGGTAGCACCATGAACAGAAATGCCTAATTTTTTCCCAACTTAGGTTACATCAGTTGAAAGTGGTTACTAAGATGCATTATAAAACCAATGGTTTATGCCTTACTATGAGAACAGGGTATCCCTCTTTCTTAGACGCCTTGTGGGCCAGTGTTCCATAGTTGGGTGCTCCCAGTTTCAACCCTATTAAATCGTCGTAAATGTAGTACTATCATCCAATTTTGCAGTTCGCTTTACAAAAGATCAGACATTGAATAACTCAAAACACAATTTAAATGTTTGTGCACAGGAATGGAATCCACCGTCGTGGCGTCACTGTCAGTATTTAGTGGTACGTGGTACTTGAAATACCTTGATGTCTTACTGACTGCCGCAGAAGTATGGTCAGAAGGGGGCCAAAGTAAAGAACAATGTCATATAGCAACGTGTGGGATAGTCACAACAACAACCAGCAACACCGGCGTCCCCAACCA